TAATAATCACAACTTTAATAACTGACTTCGCATTACAAAAAGGTCCTTCAAGACGAGCGGCCGAGGCGGGGCCAAGATCTGCGCCGAAGGGACGTCAACGCCGGCTCAACCGAAGTTCCTCCTGATGCCCCGCGAGAGTCGGTTGAAGGAGTCCTTGTGATTCTTCTGCAGGAACACCGCTGCCCTCTGCATCACGTCCCTCTGCTGGTTCGAGCACCCGCGGCAATTATTTTCGAAGATGTCGGGCAAAAAACCTGAGAAACAAAGAAGTATATGGGTATAATTATGGAATCGCTGTTATTGCCATCAATTTCTCGTGTAAATCCACCATTATCTGTTGCTGCCTGTGACGCCTTTTAATCTTTGTTTTGATTATAGACCATTCTGGGAAGAGGTACAGTGTTTTGCTCGCTAACCACCAGAGTGGAGGAAAGCGGCGCATTGAACTCACGTCTGAAATCCAGGAACATCTGTCGGCAAGGCAGTTGGGACCTGTTGTCGAGTACACAGCGGACCAGCTCCTCCGCGTCTGCTCTGGTTTGTAGGTTCCTAATGACTTCGTCGATGTTGTATTCCTGGGCGTTGGACACGGCGGCCGCGACCGCCAGCACGAGAAGGGCTGCAAGGGCTCTCCTGCCGGAGGGAGTTCACAGGCGTTCGTGAGAGGAAATAGATGGACACGTGTGTGTTTGTGTGTGGGGTGTGTGTTTGTGTGTGGGGTGTATGTGGGTGGGTGGATGGGCGCGTGCGTGCGTCCGTATACATGTCGTGCAGAGTAGCTCAGACCCACATGCAATTTTTATTTGTGATCAGACTGCGTTTAAGAATCCGTTCATTTGTGATAAGAACCATGACGCCGTTGCTATCACCAATGGAACCTGAAGCTGATTCTATCTTTTATCCATCTCTATATCTATAGGTGTGTATGTAAGTGTCTCTGTATATGTATATCAGATGTATGTATGCGCATGTCTGTCTAGAGAAACATATGAATATTGAAAAATATTCCTTAAACGAACAATGCACTTTTAATTTCTGGCCGTGTACTTTCTACCACTTCGTTTTTAAAGACATCCAACGTTGATAAACAGCTGCTTTAAAGTCTGAGAAAACGAAAAATATATGCAAAAGCAATAACAAACAACTAATCAAGTACATTCACAAACCAAAGTAAAAATCTCGGCCCCCTAACGAGACGAGCCAACCGTACTCACATGATGCCTGGTTGTGGAAGACTGGGGCCACCGGGACTAAAGTGTGCCTTTATATGCTCGATCCCTCAGTAGCAGTGGCGGGGGGAGGGGGAGGATACTCACTGGCAGGGAGGAGGGAGGGTCGTGGGGGGTGGAGAGGACAGTCGATGTAGAGGGAGAGAGGGACAAGGCATGAGAACGGAGGGACGGTCCTCTGAAGGGCAAAGCGGACTCCTAACATTCCACTCTAACTCGCGGGAAATACGACTCGACGTCATTCTTGGGAGATGCATTCTGTCCCTTCAGACATAAAAGGCCTAACGATGCCGGTATTGCGATGCTGGTATTACGTCAGTGTAGATGCGTCAAGGACAACGGCATTAGAAACGTGGACGAGAAAAATACAAGAATTTAAAATACAAAAAAAAAGAACTCTGGGGGAGAAAAGGACAATCAAGTAATATATATAAAAAAGAGACACGGCACGGGTCTTTCCCTCCCCGCCCTGCCTTCCTCCGAGATTTCGTAAGCTTTTATGGCCTTCGCTTCAGCTCGGGTTCCGTTGCATCAAAGGATACACCGACTGTGGCTCACCGAAACAATATCCTCATGCGAGATGTAGAAAATAGGGAAGCCAAAAAAATAATGGTACGAGATAGATCTTTCACGGTTAACTCTTTTCAGGGTCAACAAGAAGGCGCTAAGCACATGGACACCGATTTATATGCAAGGGATAAGCGACGAAAGAGAGACTTGCGGCAGGTAAATGGCTACACATCACCAAACCTTTCGTCTTCTTTTTATACCTCTCCCTTTTTCTTCTACTTTTTCTGCTCCTCCTTTTTTTCTTTTCCATTCTTTCTTTTCCTTTCCCTTCCTTGTCTTCTGTTTTCCTACTATCAGTTAATAGAATTAAATGCACACCAATGTGTTAGGGTGTTCCAGATGTCATCACCGCCGCGCTACCGTGTTTACTCTGACGCAGCTCTTGTCCTTTTATGCCACAGCGAAATGCTTTTGGAGGATTTCTTTTCCGTGACCAACTCGACTCAGAGAATACACCATTTGTAAGTCCTTGTTGGACGCATGAACGAGAAATATACATTTCCTCTTTAATAAGTGTGTAAAAGCGTTATTTGTTATTGTCATTCCCTGTGAGTTATCTCTCCTACATGGCGAATGAGTGAGTAATGAAACCTGTCTTGCTTTATTTGCTTGCTGCACCCTGGCTGCCTACCTTGAAAACGACTAGGCAAAAAGCAAATAAACACCTAGAGAGCTAACTGAATGGTTTATCTCAAAGGTGA